TGATGAGAGTCGTAACTGACCAGGAAACCCTGTGAGGGGTCACCATAAATCAGCTGCAACTTGACAACACGTTCCACCTCAATAAACAAAGGTGTCTTGTCTAGAATGTTGTTCATATGTGCTAAACTTTTTACTTATTAAGAGCCTGTTTGCCACCTCAAATCCTCCCACAGCCTTGTTTTGGTTGAGCCGTCCCATGGACCATTCTGTTTTTCAGGGTAGGGATGCCATCCTCCAGGTGGGACCTGGGGACGTAAAGCTCATCTCCAGATTATAGAGATCATTTCCCCTGGAGAAAATGGATGCTTTGGAGGGTGGAGTCTCTGGTGCTGTGCTCTGCTGAGGCAGGTCCCTGTCCTCCCCAGACTTCATCCCCAAATCTCCAGGAATTCCCCAACCTGGAGCTGGCAACTCTTCCCCCCACCCCCTCCCCGGTGGGCAGGGGGCGGCTGGCAACCCTATTTCAGGGACAGCTGCAACTTTACAGAGAGCCCTCCCCAAGGAGGCTCAGAGGGGCCCCTGTGCTGCCCTCTTTCCCCAACTTTTTTTTTTTGCAGTTTAATTTCATATGAACCATGTCATTTTGAGAGGAAGTTGTACAGCTTTCTTCCCTCTTGTCTTTTTAAAATTTAAATTGTCTGACACCTGTGGGTTAGGGGTTTTTTTGTTCTGTTTTGTTTCAGTCTTTTAAGTTGCCTTGAGCCATGGTGGTCTGTGGGAAAGGTGGCATATAAATATTATAATAAATAAACCTGGGAAGGGGAAATTGATGTTAATGTTGTGTACTGAGGGCAGTAGTGTATTAAAGGTTAAGGACCATGGCTGTAAACAATGGTTGTTTCCCCAATGTCACCCATCCAACTCTCCATTAAAACTACCAATTCTCTGTCCCTTACCGTATGCCATTGAAGTTGTGTTTTCCACCTTACCTCATGGCTTAATACATTCCGCCCTTCCATGCTATTCTGCAATGTGAAATCAGTCGTTCCTCTTCCCAACCTCCATGGCTAATTTGCATGACACATTTTGATTGGATACAAGTAATAGTGATTTAAGAGACAGGGCTATTTATGTAATAATCACTGTGCATTACAGCTGCCTCCATGACTTATGTATGATGTCATTTTCTGGAGAAGAAGTACTGAAACTCTGTACAGTATTGAATTGCAAGCTCATAGAAGCATCTTTGCAGACATGTTATAATTACAGAAATCTTCACAAACAATTTTATAATAAAGATAGCTTAAAAGAAACAGAGATTTCATTATACAGATTTGGAGCTAGTATGAATTTCAGATTCAAGTATGCTTAGGACTTCAGCCAGTGACTGTAGTCACACAAACTGTGTTGTCCTGGCAGTTATGTCTGTAATGCTGCTCACAGATTATTTCACAAATCTTATTGGCTGGTATAGCTTGATATCCTTGTTTCTGTGAAAACTAATCCATGTAAGACCCTCCACTGCTAACAACAAAGAATTTGTCAAGTTTGTATGAAAAACGCGTATGATCAAAACTGTTTCAAGTTTTCAAGGTCAAGCCATACCTATTTTAATTTTTATATTAATGGATTCTGCTCACTGGTGTACGCAACAGACATTGCTATTTTAGAAAGGAGTAGGGTTCGTTTTTTGGAAAGTTGTGAAGGCCAATAGACTATGCAGTTTCCCTTTGCCCACGCAAATCTCATTGATACTGGCAATTTTTGCTTTGAAGCTTAGCCACTGAATCCAAGTGGCATCGTTACAATCTCTGTTCCCATTTATTTTAGCTTTTTATCCTTTCAATCTCAGGGTTAACAATGCTTATAAAATGGGTGAAATACAAATCGCAAAATAAAATATCAACGTAAAATAAAATACATTATTTTACAAGCCAAACAGGAAAGGCTCATGGTTATACCAGAAGATGCTCAGAACTTCGTGAGTCCTTTTTGTAGGAAGAGAATTTCACAAATGTGAAAGAATCCCTCTCTCATAATATAGGTTCAGAGGGCAGCCGCGTTGGTCTGCAGCAGATTTGAGTCCAGTAGCACCATAAAGACCAACCAGAGTTTCAGAGTATAAGTTTTATGAGAAATGGACATTTGACTCTCAAAAGCCTATACCCTGAAACTCTTGTTGGTCTCTAAGGTGTTACTGGTCTCAAATCTAACTGGTCCCTCTGAGAATGTCTCTCTGCCTTCACTTTTTGTTTGGATTGGGCATAAGAATTGTAAGAATCATCCAGTAGAATTTAGGCCCTTTTCAAACTGCCTCTGTATTCCATTTTAGTGACCGGCTGCAAATTGATTTTTTCCTGTCATTTCAGATAGACCCGTTTTAGTAACCGGCTGCTATCAGAATTTATTTACCTGTTCATACAAATCCGCTTGCATTGGGGTAGCAAAGTGTGGTTGAGCCGCTTTTGAGGGAAACTGCTTTTGTCCATTTTCAACCCTTTCATTGTGCTTCTGAGTCACTGTGGTGTGCTGTTTAAAATGTCCAAAGCGCTTCCTACATTGCTGCTTCCCCCCCGCCGCCCTTTTTCACCATGTGACCTTCCTCGGACTTTTTAAAAAACATTCTAAGTTGAGCGCTATAGCACTAAACCGATATAGCACTTCAGTACTATAGCAGCACCATTGAGATGCCTTGACAATGGAGATCTGTGCATTTAAAAACAAACATTCTATACAAAGGAAATATAGTTTTATGAGAGGTGACCATGGCTCAGTGGTACAGCATGGTCTGCTTCGCATGCAGAAGGATACATTTCCAGACAGACTGTTGGCACTCAAACTGTTTTAAAAAACTCCAAGGCAACAAAGGGGAGGAACGTCAAAACAACAAGGCAGGTGGAATTCTCCAGCCTTGGACTGTCCCCCCCCCTGTGTCATGGGTTTTTATTGGCTTCTTGGCTGCTTGTCAGTTTCAAGAGGGTCCCCCCCCTTTGCCAGCTTGGGTTCCCTTCCCATTTTCTTGCACAGATCTTGCAAAATACCCCCCCTCGCTTGGAGTGTGATTCTGTGCTAGTCATCAGTCCTGTTGAGCTGGCATTGCATCTCTTTGGTTGCGCTGGTACTGCTGGGCACTCTCTACATACCACTGTTTCTATTGGGCTTACAAAATGCTCCAGCACCACAACTTTCAGTTTCTACTGCAGAGATTCTTTGGCTTGATCTTAGTCCTGTTGGGTTTGCACTGCCACTGTTTCTGCTGGGTACACTGCACTGGTTCTGCTGGGCTTGATTCTGTTCCGCTGGACTTCTGTTGCCCTTGCTTTTTTTTCTCCATTGGAAATAATGGAGGACGGGGGCACCTTCTTTGGGGGTCCATAACTCAGACCCCATAAATCCAATCTGCACATAACTTGAAGGGCATATAGAGGAGATTCAGCTGGAAGCCCACAGCATGTTTGGTGTCTCCAACTTACACAGGATCTGTTCTATACACTTCTGAACCTCCTGAACCTGTGCCTGTAATCTCATCAGAAAGCACTTTCCTGAGGGGCAAGAAGAAGGAGGAGGAGGAGGAGGAGATTGGATTGCCAATGCCATCTCTAGTGGCCCATAGCTTCTGCTATGTGTTTCATTTGGAAGCATCTCCCTCATCCATGAAGAGGAAGAAGAAGTAGAGAAGAAGATATTGGATTTATACCCTGCCCTTCACTAACTGAAGGAGTCTCAGAACAGTTTACAATCCCTTTCCCTCCCCCTCCCCACACAGACACCCTGTGAGGTAGGTGGGGCTGAGAGAGCTCTTTCAAGAACTGCCCTTGAGAGAGCAGCTCTGAAAGAACTTATGACTGACCCAAGGTCACACCAGCAGCTGAATATGGAGGAGTGGGGAATCACACCCGGTTCTCCCAGATTAGAGTTTATGCTCCTAACCACTATACTAAACTGGCTCTTTGGGGGGGGTTGTAACTCAGATCCCCTAAATCCAATAATCACCAAACGTGGAGGGCAGGTAGAGGAGCGTCAGCCAGACATCCACTGTGAGTTTGGTGTCTCTAGCATGACAGGGGGCTGTTCTACTGCATCACAAACTTCAAGAAACCGGTTCAGTTGGTAGGAAGCCTTTTTAATTCATGACAGTTCATAGTCTGGATCATGAGTCCACCACAGGCTTCCCAAGTACTTACCGTGATTCGGCAGGGGACACAGACATCCTTGCAGGATCATTCCTGCAGGGACAACAGACGCTCCGCACCATGCCGTCGCCAGGAAGTGATGCCGGGCGATGCTCTGGCAATGGGGCTGGAAACTCGATGGTACCATCGAGTTTTCAATCCCATTGCCAGAGCGTCGCCCAGCATCACTTCCTGGCGGATGGCATGGTGCGTTACAGGGAGGAATGGTCCAGCCAGGGAGCATGTTTCCCCCGCCGAATCACGGTAAGTACTTGGGAACCCTAGTCCACCATGAACCACGAACCAAACTGCATTTTCCCATTTAGTGCTCATCCCTAAATGGAATACACACTGCCTTGTTATTTTTCTACCTTTGTAGGAGGTATTTATCTCTTCCACATATTACTAAGGCACAGTTTATAATAAATATCCTCTCATCTGGGTGCCTAGCACAAAGGTCATCCTTCTAAGTACCCACAGATGCTGAAAAAGGAGAAGGTGTGAAATAGTTGAAGAAGTTTAAATACTTTCAGAACTGCATCCACAGAGCAGGGCTCTTCTGTTTCCCTATCACTGCCACTGTGAATTCAGAGGCATTAATTAGCACTGGAAACATCGGGCACACACAGGAGATTTGTCCACACTTTCTTCCATCGGCCATCGCTTTCCCTGAAGTTATTGATTTAGTTAACTTAATTTACTCCAACTTTCTGCCCAATGGCGAACCAAAGTAGCTTACATTGTTCTCCTCTCCTCCGTTTCCAGCCTTACAAATACCCTGTGAGGTTAAGCAGAGAGTCTGTGACTTGCCCAAGATCACCCAATGAGCTTCCAGGCGCTTCCCTCCACTATTCCACCAGAAGAGTTTTTCGGGCTATGCAATGGCACAGAAATATTACCTATTGCCACCATCTACTAGATGTGCTACAGGTGACAGCGCTGCAAAGGCAAAGGACTCCTGCTGTGTCTCTTAACTCCAGTTTGTTACAGCTTTGAGGGAGAGGCGTTCTTTCCTATAGTTCCTCTGGGACAGGGTCAGAAACCAGAACAATGAATTTGTTCCACTTTTTTTGCCAGATCTCCAGTGCCTTGGCTCTCTCATCAGGTAGCAAGGTGCTGTGTCTGTGAAGAAGAAAGGAGGCTAGGTCAGAGAAGGAAAGCTACGGAAAGGTGCTTTGGGAGCTGGATGACCAGGTCAAAAGTCAGAGGAGAGCAGGAAATGATAAGCTAGCAATTCATTCATTGTGTTACAATGAAGGTATACGGAGCCTAGGAAGAGAGTCCCACAGAATTCATGTGACTCGCTCCCAAATAAGTGTGCCGAGGACTGAAATCCTATTTACTATCATCAGTGGGACCTACTTCCAAATAAGCCTGCATGCACAGACTTACAATTTTCAAATGCTGTCTCTGTAGTCTACCTCTGATTATAACAACGACAATTTATGCATAACCCTGTCTCTCACCCTGGACTTCTTCAACACTGAGCTGAGTGCAGTTCAAAGAAATCTGTACAAATATGAGGTGATAAGGGAAACAAGATGCCATGAGATAGGAACCATCTGGGAATTATTTCGGCAACAAAATAATGTCTCACTCTACCAGAGATATTTAGACTCTGAAGTCTGTTAACAGGAGAGATTCTCTAGATCATAAACATATGGAGCAGAGTTCCATCAGTGGCTATTAGCCACCAGGTATAGATGGAACACTATGTCTGGGACAGTGATGCTCTATATTCTTGGTGCTTGTGGGGCCACAGTGGGAGGCATTCTAGAGTTCTGCCTTGCTGGTGGACCTCCTGGTGGCACCTGGGTTTTGGTCACTGTGTGACGCAGAATGTTGGACTGGATGGGCCATTGGCCTGATCCAACATGGCTTCTCTTATCTTCTCTTATCTTCTTATCACACTTGGACAAATCCATAAGCTGCAGACCTGGCAGTACTCTTAGCATGCTGATTCTAAGCAAGCACATTGTCCAATCCTGCATATGTCTTTAGAAGTAAGTACTTCTAAATTCAGTGAAGCTTTCTCCCTAGTATGCATGTGCAGCCTTACTTCAAAGTAAATTACATTGCAATCTTACATGTAAAGATGTTAAGATTTAGGGTAACAGCTTCCAAGAATAAATGCCTGAAATTAATAGATTCGGTCTGCAAGCTGTAAGCCAGAGCTTTTGCAGAGTTGGACTTTGGACTAGATTTCAAGCTGGAACTTCCTCTAGTACCAGAATGTCAAGTTCTAGGGTTCTCTAGCAACTCCTCAATCCCTTTCCTAACAAGCCTTTAAGCATCTTTCTTCCAAATCCTTCCCCAATGCTGTTAATCGCCAATATCATTCCAAATTGACACACAGGAAGAAAATGCAGCTTCTCCAGCTAGAATTATATACCATCATGTACCATTGCTTCATTTCCAACCATGAGATATTATACAAACTCACTCAGAAGATAAAATAACATAAGAAAAGCCCTGCTGGATCAGACCAATGGTCCATCTAGTCCAGCATTCTTTCTCACACAGTGGCCAATCAGTTCCTCTGGGGGGCCAACAACAGGTCACAGAGGCCGAGGCCTTCCCCTGATGTTGCCTCCTGGCTCTGGGATTCAGAGGCTTAGTGCCTCTGAACATGGAGGTTCCCCTCAGTCACCATGGCTAGTAGCCACTGACAGACCACTCCTCCACAAATCTATCTAATCCCCTTTTAAAGCTGTTTATTCCTGTGGCCATCACTACATCCTCTAACACTGAATTCCACATTTTAATCACTCTCTGTGCAGAGACATCAGAGGGACTCCCTTGTTGCAAAGTTTAGCAAGTGGCTGTGCAGAATGACAGGTCTTCAAGTACAGAATGGGATATGCCTTTCAGATCTGGCTCTTTAGCCCATGTTTTGTTGGCCCTCCAACGCAAACGCAGCATAAAGGAGAGTGCCCACACAGGCAAAAAGTCCAAGCATGTCAGTGTATAAGAAGGATAACACTTACGTTAGTGAGTTGAGAGCGAGTTGTTTTAAAGTCCTCAGATCAGCAGACATCCCTCCTATGCCCATAAACGTTTCGTAGAAGTCATAGGACACACCCTTCGCTCCAAAGACGGATGGATCATCGGGACTCACCACGATACGGTGGCCTTCTGACATCAGAAGAGCAGCAGGATGGTTTCTCAGATCAGATACTAACTGCAGGACCTAAAAGAAGAGATCCAGAACCCTGGTAAAGGACTGTCACTGTACTCAAAATTTGCTTTATATAATCAGGACTCTACAACCTCTGCACATAAATAGTGGAGATGCTGGAAACTCTTTGGAAATCTTGTTGAGATGCTCTTGTTTTAAGCCTCCTGTGGCTGTGGGCAAAAAATCCAAGCAAAATTACACACAATTGTGCAACCCAACCCTATGCATGTGGAAGGAAGTCCCATGGAGTTCCATGGAACTAATTTCCACATATAGATGCCTCATAGAGTTATGGGAGTTTATTCCCAATATGTGGGCAAGAGATTGCAGGCTTCCTCTTGACTGCTTCCAACCCCAGCCAACACCTCTCTCTCCTGCTTGTGCTTCACTGCTTGCCTTTGTTCTATTGCACTGACTCTATGAAAACCCAAATACTGAACTGATGACAAATTTCAGAAAATTGCAAATTGTATCACTCAGTTCTTGGGGATATTTTTGTTCACTGCAAGCAATAAAGACCCCTCAACTCAATCTCTGAGGCAGTCCACTTCCTCAGGTTCCCTCCTACTTTCAGACTTTCTTTCAGGAGTTTCCACGGATACATATGTGTGCATGCAAAGTGTCCACAGCCAACTTATGGCGACCCCAAAGGGGTTTTCAAGGCCAGAGACTAACAAAGGTGGTTTGCCATTGCCGATACATACCATCCTTAAAGTACCCCAAATGCCAAGCCCTCTGACCTAGAACCCCTGCTCGTAATCCTGACACTTGACTTTATTTACTCAGCAGCTTGTAATTTTTCACTACAGCTATATGAGTCTCATATGGCAATGAAAACAATTTTCAGAGCTGGGCCTTTTGCTTGAGAGCTGTACCTGGTTAGAGATGGGGCAGATTTCTACAGGAATATCCATCTTCAGAGTCAACTTCCTAGCTACCGGATGCTTGGCAAGGGCAAATCCATGGCCAATCCGGCTGGTGTTCAATAGCACAGCATCCAAGACATCATTATCTGCAGGGGTGCCCTCCCAGTCTGAGTGATACAAAGAGTTGCTACATTAGTACACAATCACAAAATGTTACGCAATATAGTCTCAAATACATACGGGTTGCATTCAGCCAGTGTTTTCACTCAGCCTCACCAGATCCTCCCCTTACTACGACCTAAGTCCCGCATGGGCTTTTCTCCACACAGATCCAATGATCCCCTGCATAGTCTTCTTGGAGGTCCTAGGGAAACCCCTCTCCCCTTTTCAAAAGTGGAAAAGCTGGTTGGATCCAACCCAGTCTCCCAAACGTATTCTGTCCTGAACATAAGTCCTGCACGTTCTATGGGCAAAACTAGATAGGATGGTGTCCCTTGGGATGCTGCTGCCATGTTAAAGCCTAATGGGGGTGATTTAAAAATGCAGTGTGGTGGGACCAGGTGCTCTTGTTTAAGTTCCAAAATGGCCACGGGACGGCACATTGTTCTGGCACTTGACAAGGTGTGAGGGGGACAGACAGGATTTCTGGACTGGGCCCTGGCGGCATTTTAAATGGCCCGCATTAGGATTTAAAATGGTGGCACCATCCCCAGGTCGAGCCTGTGGATGCCAGCCCACCCCGTCTAGTTTGGCCCTAAAAGGCATCATCTGAGGACCAATAACATGACACCATGTCCATGAGTCCGGACACGGGTTCCCGACCGCACTCATGATTGTATGTTCAAGTGGAGAGTTGTCTTTAAAAAAAACCTCTCGTCTATCTGTGCTTTTTTAGCTGTGGGACTAACTTTATGGAAGAGATTAATACAGGCAGTCCACAGGGCACCATCTCTCTCCAGACTTTGGAAGCCATGTAAGCAGGAGAGGACTGGGAAATGAAAAATGGCCCTGGAGTGAGTCAAGCGGAGTGGACCCTGCTGTGCTACAAGCTCACACCGCAGGGCCACTCAACTCAGTGGGGCTGATGATGGGCATGAGTTAGAATCAGAGAATCACAGAGTTGGAAGGGGCCATGCAGGCCATCCAGTCCAACCCCCTCCTCAATGCAGGATCAGCCTAGAGCAGCCCTGACAGGTGTTTGTCCAGCCGCTGCTTGAAGACTGCTGGTGAGGGGGAGCTCACCACCTCCCCAGGCAGCTGATTCCACTGTTGCAGAACTCTTACTTTAAAAAAGCTTTTCCTAATATCCAGCTGGTACCTTTCTGCCTTTAATTTAAACCCATGATTGCAAGTCCTATCCTTTGCTGCCAAGAGGAACCGCTCCCTGCCCTCCTCTGAGTGACAGCCCTTCAGATACTTCAAGAGAGCGATCATGTCCCCCCTCAACCTCCTCTTCTCCAGACTGAACCTTCCCAAGTCCCTCAGCCTTTCCTCTGAGGGCTTGGTCTCCAGGCCCCCAATCATCCCCGTCGCTCTCCTCTGCACCCGCTCCATTCTGTCCACATCCTTTTTGAAGTGAGACCTCCAGAACTGCACACAATACTCCAGGTGCGGCCTGACCAATGCAGTCAGCCTGACCAATGCATTCACCCACTGCATCATCCCCCAAACTGGAAGCTGTGCAAAAGGAGACAGTCTGTGAACTGACACTAATTGCCATGGATTATGAGTGGTTCAGACTGAGGATCAGGCAGAGTTGCTGCAGCTTAGATCTGCTAGCTCCTGGCTACCAGTCACTCCCTAGAACAGCGGCCCACTGGGAAATTTCCCTGTAGATTAAATGGCCAGTCCACCACTACATGTAAGGCAGTACTCTTTCAAAGGGTTGTTCAAACTAGGGGTCAGGTGTTCCCCAGGCATACGCACACCATCATAGGATGACTTGGAGCTGGGTTAAAAAGGCACCACATCACAAGTAGTGTTTTTGGTTCCCTGCACATTCATTGCACATGGCCAGATGCCTGAATGTGGGGGAGTGCACGCAGAACGGATTGGCGGTCTGAACCTGTAGATCTGTTTCTGCTGCTGGGGTTGCGCTTTTTTAATGCGTTTTTGTCTTGCACACAGAACGGATTGGCGGTCTGAACCTGCAGATCTGTTTCTGCTGCTGGGGTTGCGCTTTTTTTAATGCGTTTTTGTCTATATGCACATATGATACTCGGATGATAAAAGGGTTGGAACACTTTCCCTATGAGGAAAGGTTAAGGCGCTTGGGGCTCTTTAGCTTGGAGAAATGACGACTGAGGGGAGACATGATTGAGGTTTATAAGATTATGCATGGGATAGAGGAGGTAGGGACAGAGGTACTTTTCTCCCTTTCTCACAATACAAGAACTCGTGGGCACTCCATGAAATTGCTGAGCGGTCGGGTTAGAACGGATAAAAGGAAGTACTTCTTCACCCAAAGAGTGATTAACACTTGGAATTCACTGCCACAGGAAGTGGTGGCGGCTACAAGCATGGACGGCTTCAAAAGGGAATTACCGTATTTTTTGGACCATAAGACTCACTTTTTCTTCCAAAAAAAGTGGGAGGAAAAGTGAGTGCGTCTTATGGACCGAAGGTTCAGAATATTTTTTTCCCTGTTTTCCTCCTTTAAAAACTAGGTGCGTCTTAAGGTCAGGTGCGTCTTATGGTCCGAAAAATACGGTAGATAAGCATATGGAGCAGAGGTCCATCAGTGGCTATTAGCCACAAGGTATAGATAGGGGCTCTGGGGCAAGTGATGCTCTGTCTTCTTAGTGCTAGGGGGGGTCAACAGTGGGAGGGCTTCTAATGTTCTGGCCCCACTGGTGGACCTCCTGATGGCACTGGTATTTTTGGCCACTGTGTGACACAGAGTGTTGGACTGGATGGGCCTCTGGCCTAATCCAACATTGGCGTCTCTTATGTTCTTATGTGCACACACCCACCTGCATTTTCTAAAAAGCGACCCAGCAGCACACTCCATGGCTGAGGCACTGCACTAATATGGATGCTTGACCAGGGGGATGGCCATATGGGTAACCCACAGCAGGGTATGCTGTCTGGATGAAATTGTCCCGCAACGGTTTATGGCCATATGGGTAACCCACAGCAGGGTATGCTGTCTGGATGAAATTGCCCTGCAACGTTTTAAACCAGAACAATGAGAGGTGGCACCATATTGCGCCAAGCCACCAGTGTGATCACGCCCTAGGATTATGGCCAAGAGCTGTGGCTTCTGTTCTTTACTGGCAATTTGGAACGCTGGTTATGTAGTCTTGTTATGATCTTTTCTGCTTTGTTTTATATAATACAACTTAGGAAACTGTGGGGACTCATGGGGAGGGACAAAACCCATCCTCCTCCTCTCCTCCGGCCCTCCTCCCCATGTTGCCTTTATTTCTATCTCCTTGCTATCTCCTACTTCTCTAAGCCCGTCAGCTTTTTTTTGGGGGGGGGACCTAAAATGCCATCTGAGATCTTCCAAAGGTAGTCTTGGGCAATTCTGAGCACCAATTATCCCCTTTTTTCTTTTTTTCCAAGGAGGAGGAGGAGACTGTATTTATACCCTGCCCTTTACTTGGAGTCTCAGAGCAGCTTACAATCTCCTTCTCCCCCCCCCCCCACCCAGCTCCCTCTCCCCCCCCCCCCCCATCATAGCTCTGTGTGCCATACAGATTTATTGGTCTGAACAAGGGAGAGGGATGCTCAGCTGTACAAAGGATTTTACATTTTTTCTGTTGTAATGTATTTTTAATTTTGTGAGCAGACATGAGTGAAGTGAAATAGCATTCTATTTTAAAAATAAATAATGTTATTTGCTATTCAGCACTCCAATAAGCTGAGGCAGGTATCAGAACAGGTATTACAAAGGCCAGCTTCACACAAAGCTCAGGATCCACCAAGGAACCCGGGGCCCATGGAGCCTCAAAATCAGCTCCCCCTTTACCCAAAAAAACCCTAAGAATACCACTTTTTCTGGTGCTTGCCATTAAGCAAAAAGTCCTTCTGCAGAGACTGACACAATTACTGTCAGTGGCTAGATTGGAGAAGTTTTCAATTAGCAATAACTGCACCTCAGTTTAACCTCATGGCTTATGCTACTGCGGCTACGCAAACCTAACTACCACGTCCCTGGGTCCCGAGCCCTCTTCTGCGCAGTTCTTCTCTCACATCTTTGTAAAAACTGAAAGCACAATGACATTTGAGCTGAAGTTTAACAGAGTCCTTGGGGAACACTCTCCCACTGCACAGATGGATTGTAGTATTGGCCCAAAAGCTGCTGTGGCAGGGCATACTGGAGATGCGCATGCAAATGAGTCACACAGATCGTGACAGGAGCAGTGGCTTTGACAAAGTATAACGACAAAGGCTGCAAGGTATAAATATTCTAAATAAATATTAGGGTCCTTTCTGTCCCAAAAAGATGAGTGTTCAGGAGGGATAACATGAGAACAGATCACACACACACACACACACACTTTTACAAAACAGAGAAGCCTCCGCAGAAGCTGACAGAAATGGCTGACACCAGTTATACTTCAAGCTGTCATAGTGAGGTACTAAGGGAAACCGTTTCAATTAATAGTAACACTACCGTTGTTAAACCAACATAGGCCATTGCACTGTTACTCTGCAAAGCTGGCTGCAAAGATCAGTGAACTTAAGCACCCCGTCTGATGAAGAGAACTTTGACTCTTGTTGGTCCTTAAGGTGCTACTGGAATTGAATCTTGCACGCCATACAATGTTCCCTCTAAGCTCCACAGTGCTGTGAGCAGAAATTCTACCTCGTGAGCAAAAAAGCTAGTAGCATTAAAGTTGTGGGTGAGTCTACATTTGACTTTTGCCTAAATTGGTTTTTTAGAAGATTATTTCCATAACCTTGTAAAAATCTCAGAAT